CTGTCGCTTTGACGCCCTCAATGGCGCCAGCGCAGAATCGTTCAGTCTTATCAAGGCGATGTCCCACCTCGACTCCAACGGCACCTACCAGTTCCTGCGCAAAGTCCCGTAAACCCAATCGTATCGAGCGCACAGCTATATCTTGACTCCTGCTGAAGTCATACTGATCTGCCTGGACTCGTGCCAGGCATGCGATGCTTCTAGCCATGACTCGCATCTGATTCGGGAAATCGGGCTGGGCGGCTAATTGTTGTTCTATCGTTTTCACTTCCTCTAGTGCTTCCGCCGCCTCTGCTGCCTTGTCAACTCTCCTCTTTTTCTCCCTCATCACCGCTAACCTCCACTCCATCCTCTTCTCATCTTCCAACGCCTGGCGTCTAAGGGGGTCTTTCTCTGCATCCCAAGCCCTCATGGCGGCTTCTTGCTGATCCTGCGGAATATACATGCTAACTTCTTCTTCCTCTACCACAGTCAGATTAGCCATCCATTCGGATATCCTTTTTTCCAACTCCCCACCAGGACTGCCGCTATGCTGTCCACTGCTCTTCTGCACTGGCGGGTCTTCCTCTTCCTCTTCTACCTTTTTCAACTTCTCTTCCTCCTCTTTTATTAGCCTCTCCTTCTCCCTGGCCATCTCCTCTTCGATCTTCTTCAGTTTGGCCGCCTGCTCCTCCTTCAAGGCCTTCTTTTTGGCCTCCTTCTTCTCCTTCCTCTCTTGCAGTAGAGCGGCCATCTTCTCCTCCTCCTCCTTCGTGTATGGCGTGGTGGACGTACCACTACGAGTGGGTCCTACTCTACACGCAACAGTGGACCAGAAGCCCAGAGGAAAAAGGAGRCGCCATAGGGTTCCCCACAGGGAGAACCCCACAAGTAGCCCATACATGGGATAGTCATCCATCGTGATGTTAGGTGCACGACCAAAGTCCCACTCCTCACCACTTAGACCTACCCTGACTCACCCCACGGACTGACGTGGACTCCAATAACTAACACAAAACTTCCCTCTCACGGGGTTAGGGTCCCACTGGGTACCTATGCCCCCAGGTAGACCGGCAACCCTAACCACTTCCCCACAAGGGGGAGGAGCCTTTCCTCCAGGAGAGACCAGTCTCTGACTTTACACTAACACTACTAGGGTCTCTAGCCTAGACCTAGGGCTGTCACTACAGACTGTGTTGACCACGAGGCATTTAAGGAGATCCCCCAAACTCCGCAAGAATTCTTTAACGTCGCAGACAGAACGACGCGGTCAGCACAACCCTCCTGGCGATTTCAGCCCACAACTAGCCGTTTCGGCCTACCTGTGCCACACCGAGCAGCCCGCCGGTCTGTACCGGTCCTTGGGAGGGTTCGTGTCCCCCGGGACAGTCGAGTCGTCAGACACAGATCATCAACCTTACTAGGTCATAGAGGGGGAGTGGGTCAACCAGGGCCTCAACACTTGACGACGACCTTCGTTTCAGCCCACAGCYCAGAGTTCAGACCCACTAAACTGATATTGAGAAACCTGCCGGTCAGTACCGGTCATTGGGCTAGACGAGTTGTTTAACGAGCGCTCGCCGCTCATGCCCAGGTCCTCAAGTCTCAGAGTAGGAGTCCTACTAAGCTCGTGTGGGTTTGGCAGCAAGGCCCTATCCTTCATCCACAGATTCTATCACCTAGGACAGAAGAGACTCAATGCAGAAAGGAGAGACAGACAGACTCTTGACCTCAGCAAGTACCAAAGGTAAGTGTACATCCACGGGGTAGGGAGAAGGCTGAAGGCTTGGCGAGATCTCACCAACTCCAGCTTGGTCAAATCTTGGTCAACGGCGGCTTGGTCAACGGCCCGGTCAACGCTGGTCAACGGCCCGGTCAACGCTGGTCAACCTCCTTGGTCAACCCTCTGGTCAACTCTCGGTCAACCCTTGGTCAACCCTCCAACCTTCGTCAGCCTTCAGCTATGGCTGCCGGCACCTT